TGGAGAAACGGTCCCTTAAGGCCAATAATCTTAGGCGGCGATTTTTACGGTCTGATGTTCTACGGCGGCGTCCAGTGACCCTTGCTCTTTGCGTATGGCCTTCTCGAAGCCATGCCTGACAACACCTAACCACAGTGTCTACACTTCTTTGCACTCTAACTGCAATTGCCCGAAAAGAAAGTCCAGCTTCCCGAAGTCCCACTATACGGCCCCTATCAAACTCACTAAGTTGACGAAATCGTACAGGTCTCCGTACTCTAGGCATCGTAACCGATCGTAATGGATGTCAAGAACCAAAATCCGCCAACGTTGATTCTTTACTGCTGCTGAAATATTCATTTTTAGAGCGTTAGTGAATTAAAAAAAAAGCAGTATAAAAACCGGAATGTCCAAGTGATAAGGCTGAAAATTTTTTCACTTGTTATTTACAGTAAGATAAATACATTCACCAACTTTTATTGAAATAAAACCATTTAAACCGGGTGTTCGGATTTATATGTCACTTAGTATACATCATCCTTCATTATTTTCCCTTTTTGTGGACCCACAAATATGCCCTCTTTCATTTTAGCCTCACTAAGTCTCGGAAATATTTGATTTAAATGCAGAAACCCGCTTCAATTTCGATTCATAGCTTTCTAAAAATTTTTCATCAGTCCCAACTTAATATGCAAATTAAGGATAGGAAATGTTTACGCTTTCTGTACCATCACTTTCAGAATCGGTGAATTCGACTTTTTCATCCAAAGACCAAGATTCCGGTGGAACTGGGACAGAAAGTTGATCACTATGCTTAACGGACCGCAAAGATGATGGTAAATTAAAATACTTGACAGTATGTTTCGATTTTGGTCTAATACCTTTAGTATTTGTGAGCCAAAAATAGCAATCAGTAGTATGCTCTCTCGGTTCTCTCCAAACCATTGGTACCGCAAATGGCATTTTACGATTGTCGCCTCTTAACCAACCTGTTAACAACGTTACAGACGTCTCACAACATATATGAGGGGCCCATAGTTTATCTTGGTCGCCAACTTTAATTCCAAAATAAAGTTCGTATGCCTTCAAAACAAGGGGAGTAAAAGCACGTTTTTGGGATTTAAAAGTAAGCTCTCCTCACACATAATAAAAACTGTTTGCACTATTTACACAATTTCTAGGAATTGTTTATAAGCTAGTCCCGATCACAATAAACTAAATACAACACACCGTTTTAACAAAAATTAACAGTACTCAGAACATCTCAGTACCCTTCAACACAGAAAACATAATTGAATCGGCTGCTGTTAGTCTACTAATAAACTCAATATGCTCTCTAAACATAGAGCTCGCATATAATAAAAAGGAAAAGACAGGTCTTAACATTATATATGTGCGTCATCGCATAAACGCGAAATGCAGCAATATGAGATGTTACGTATTGTAATTCATAAAAGTAGATGTTACCGAATATCTGTGGATGATAGAAAAACTATGTTTTTAGATTTGACTCAAGGGTCTCAAAATACAGAAAATACACCCAAAAATTGTCATGTCACAAATCCTGTGTTTATCAGTGTTATTGAGGACTGTACGTACAGTACGTTTCAATTATAAAAGTTACAGAGCATATGACATGACGGAGTCTAATCGGATACAGAATGGCTTACAATGGTGGCGAGGTCTATTTATATTATCGGTAATGCATTACCGAGCACAAAACCCTAGCAACAGATTAGCGAGAACTTGTTATCTTTTTTTTATACCGAAGCAGCCGCGCAGGCAGAAGCCTAAATGCCGGGACATCGCGGCTACTATGATGATCCCAAAGAAATTTTGTTAATCCGACTTTTGAACTGCTTAAAGTAAAAAGAACTGGGAAAAGCTTCCTCTTGTAGACTGTTCCACAAGCTCGACATCGTCTGGACCAAGGAGCGGTCGTATCGGACAGTTCTGGATGTATGAAGTTCGACACGATCAGGATGGGAGGCCAAAGTCAGGCGGGTCTGTCTGGCAGGCACATCGCGCGGCGGATTCATGGAAGAGAGCTTTGAGTAGCAAAGCCCGTTAGTGTAGCGGTAGAAGAGAGCTAGATCGCCGACGGCCCGCCGGTACGAGATGGTCCCGAGACTGTCAGAGAAGAGTCATCGATCAGTCGGACAGCCCTCCTCTGGACAGCATCGAGCATAAATAATATTGTCTGATGATGACTCTATGTCTGTGCGAAATTATAATAATAACTGCGTACTTAGATCATATATACCACCTATAACGACACTAAAAGTAAAAAAACAGACGACCAAGCATAGTAATCTACAGAGGGCTCTTGGGCTTTGCACCAGAAATGAATACTGGAATTGGTCTAATTTGTCCAGATTCACGAGTTGGGTGTACGCGCAAACACATTCCGGCACGTAGCAGTGCAAGTTCCTGAAACGCCATGAAAAATCGCAAATGCCGGTTCCGGATCGTTATTACAAGCAATTTTATAGTCGACTGGTTGCAAACTGTCACATTACACCATTCACCTCGCCATACTTTGTACGGCTCCGAAACACTAAAAATAATGCAGTTTGTGCGCGCTTTGGCACTTGATCACTTCCTATAGGGGTTACGAGCGATAAGGATAAATGTATTTAGATATATAAAACTTCATAGGTGTACCTTTGTGTTTTCTTTCAGCCTGGAATGACCCGATGAAGTCTAGTTGAAATTCCAACAGCACTGGGGTTCAGGAAGTATTGTAATCGGCAACATTTCGGAAATGGATAATTATGTTTTTTGGATGATATATCACACGATCTTTACGAAAAACCATGTGACTCATTCGGTCTGTCTGCCTGACCGTCCGCCAATCCGTAGCACGTATATAACTCGGAAAGTACCGATCAGATTTTGATGACATTTCCACACGAGGCTACTACTCTTCTAAGAACGAGAGGACTGATCATTTTCAGGAAAATTCTGTAGAGGTTGTCAATTGGGGCTATTGGAAGTAGGGGAGGGCATGCCTTAATTTTTTAACGTTGCTATATTTATACGTTTCCCACCCTGTTCATTCCACGCAACTCTTAAACATATTTCATACATCAAAAGATTTCTATGTATATTTGTCCTGTGAACTTGGCAATGGTGGACAAATATTTTCAACAGGAGCATCTCCGATTATACGAGTACTTGCATCGCAGTCCCACTGATAGGCGTTTGGGTTGCGTGGTCGATGGTCGCTACCGTGTCGTTTCTGATGAGTGGCGAGGTTAGCCAGAGCCATGTTGCCAACATTGCCAGATGGTCGTGGTCAAATGGGTAGATAATAATATGGACTAACTGTATGGGCCTGATTGACTGGCTTAATCCATTTCTTTATACATGTTCGTAGCTACCTTTTTTGAATGGGTACTTTATGAACTGCTGACAGCTTTGCATGAAAAGTAGAGTCAATTTCTTACCAACCTGGCAAAAGCAAGTGAGGTTATCCAAAACGCTCAAATGGGTTAATCTAACGAAAGTTGTCAAATTTATAGTACCGCTTGTTTAACTGTAAATAACGGAGCGTTTAACTACACAACATACTCACACTTGTCACATTAGAAAAGCTGCAGGTTGTTTTTATCAACAGTTAACTGAAGCCAATGATCAGTTTTACACCATAGATTAAGTCGGTAGTAGTAGTAGTAGTAGTAGTAGTAGTAGTGGGTGGGGTGTGAAGCTCAGCTCGCGTCCGTGGCCGTCACACAAGTGGCGCACCGAAGCATGCCACACGTACACCCCAGCTAGGTGCTAAACGAGCTGGGACCCCTGGGTTCTTGGATGACCAAGATCGGGTGACCAACCCCGGTGGCGAGAACCCACACCCAGGGCCAAGGGGTAGACCGGACTCCCAAAGCCGCGGTGAAGGCAGCCGGTCTAGGGATACTGACCCGAAGAATTCATAAGACGACCTGGCCGTGGACCACGAAACGTTTTTTGGAATAATGGAAGGACGACACACTAGAACGGATATGACGACAGGGCGATGACATGGACTCTCTATGACTTGATGATGACATGGCTGCGAAACGGAAGCTCTGAGGGAGTAAACCCTGGAAAAAAAAATCCTCCCAAGTCCAAGGTGTAACACCATCGTGCCGAGGGGCTGCATGGCACAGGGAGAGAAGTGTGTTCTAAGCGATGCCTGGTGGACTAGGCGACCCGCCAGGGAAAATAGCCTTACTGCCACATGCGGGGCTCTGTGGTAGCGGACAGATTTCTTCCCTAACTACTCGTGGGAACAAGATGGATAAACTTTAAAAAACACAATCTGAAAGACAGGATCGAGAGGAGGTTGACCCTTTCAAAAGAAGAGACAGAATGAAAAGGTCACCGCCTGGCAGGAACAGATCATCTTCGTGGTCTGATATACATAGCCAACAGAGAGGCACAGAAGAGAGCAACCCTACAACAGGCTCGAAGGCAGGCTCTACAAGCTCAGTAAGGAGTGAAGGGACGTCAAATGCAACTGAAGAAGTACTCAGGCGTAGAGCACCTTCCCAATCAGGAAAACGACGTAGAAGCGAAGAAGACAATGGTGAGGAAATGAAAAAGCTTATAGAGAAGGTGACGAAAACCGCCTCTACGTTAAGAGAGCTCATAAAGACTACTCCAAACACGCAGGGAGATATCAAGAAGGAGATTATGAGGCTGAACCAGATAATGGAGTCACTAAATCTAAGGATTGACCAAGAAAGTACCGAGAGAGACCGGAAGGCACCGAGAAAGGAAGAGAGCCCAAAAAGCACAACAAGCGTTGGGGTGCAAGTAAATTTCGCGGATGTAAAGGCGGAAATGGAAGAAAGAGAGTCTAAAGAGAGCAAAGAAATAATAGACATCTTAGATAAGAGCCAAAATTTTGAACAATTTGCGAAATTGCTAGACAGGAAATGGCCAGAACGAGCCTACAGGGCCGTCAAACATATTCATGTCCACCAGACATACCCGTAGAAGATGTCACAGCAATAATCGCGGACGCCAAACCGGCGAATATGAAAGGACTGCTAAAGGAAATAAGCGGAAGGCACCCGGAAATAAGCGAGATCATGAAAGGCGGTGTAACAGAAGGCCAGTTAGAGTACTTCGAGAAGACCACAAAGATAAACTTCAGGAACAAAGACGAAGAGAAAAGCCAACTTGTTTACATCCTACCTATCGATATAGACAAAAATGGAGTAAACAACATGAAGGAGGTACATAAACTCGTAGAAGATAGCAAGAGAACGGTGCAGACTCATGGTCGGAAAAAGAGCACCTTTATACCGGATGATGGGATAAACAAATCATACCTGAGGAGGATCCTAGAGTACGTGTTTAACAAAGCGAACATCGAGGTAAAGCTGATGACAGCCAGAGGAAAAGACCGAGAGCATAGCAGACCCTGGCCAAGTAAAACACAAGCCCAATCTCAAGCGGTGATCGTTAAGAAAGGGGGCCGGCAGTACGCCGATCTCCTAAAGACAGTGAAGCAGAATATCGATTTAGGGAAAATCGGTGTCAAAGTCAGGAACATAAGAGAGACCGCAAGAGGAGACCTACTGCTGAACGTGGAAGGGGGTGGTGAGAAGGCAGACTCCCTTAAAAAAGAAATTGCCGCCCAGCTCAAGGATGTAGGTGTCTCGCTAGCCAATAACGATGCCACTGTACACATCAGCGATATAGACCCTACAGTCACCGAGGAGGAGATCGAGGAAGCAATTTACGAGGCAACCCAAGTAGACAGAGCAGCACCAGTGAAGGTGTTGAATATGAGGCCCACCAGAGATGGAAATAGAATTGCAACTGTCAGGTTATCAAAGCATCTGGCGAAAGTCCTAAGCAACAGAGGCAAGCTGATGATAGGCTGGGTGGCATGCAGAGTCCGTGAGAGAATAGCTGTAACCAGATGTTACAGATGCTTGGAATTCGGACACATTCAAAATGGATGCACAGGCAGGGATAGATCGGGAGAATGTCTGAGCTGCGGAAAAATGGGTTATAAAGCGAAAGACTGCCAAACGGACCCTTTTTGTTCTTCCTGTCAAGAAGCCGGTCACCGCTCCGACTCAACCAGATGTCCTAAGTATAGGAGGATGGTGGAGGATAAAGCAAAGTGGAGAGGCAGCTTCCGCAAGTAAAGTAAAGTAAAGAAAAAAAAATGCCACGGACTGTCGAAGGTAATGCTACAAACAGGTTTAAACGAAATCTACGGAAAAGCCTGAGAATACTGCAAACGAACTTAGGCAGAGAAACAGCAGCCCACGATATAGCCTTTGCCACGGTAGCCGAGTATAACATAGACCTACTGGTAGTGGGGGAACCCAATAAGACCATCATAAAAGCTCAAAAATAGATCAGCGACAAAAGAGGGGACGTAACAGTGTACTTTAGAAATAGGGAAGTGACGGTTAAAGATATAAAGTACTACGACGGTTTTTTGGGCCTACACCTCGAGTTTTGCACCTTATACTGTTGCTACATATCTCCAAATATTCCGATAAATGAGTTTCAGGATCTGGTTGACAAGATAATATCTGAAATTGTCACATCAAGAAGGGAATGCGTGCTCTTGGGAGACATAAACGCAAAGAGCGTCGAGTAGGGGTCCCCATTCACAGATAGTAGAGGAACGTACTTTTCTAAATGCCTTGCTGCTGCAAACATGGTTGTGCATAACACCGGAGATAACCCCACTTTTGTTAGAGGTAGCACAGAATCCTATATAGATGTCACATGTTCGACACAGAAGATCGCAGCAAACATGAAGAAATGGAGCGTCCTCGATGAGGATAGCATGACGGACCACAAGTATATATACTTTGAGGTAGATAAGAGCAGCTAAGCAGTAAAAAAGCTCAATCCTGGGGCTCGACCAAGACTTGTAACTGGGAAGTCTTTAGACAGGTACTCTCGTCCAAGCTAGTAGAATACCCAGAAAAGCCGCATACAGAGGAAAACTTTACTGCCACCATTAAAGAAGCTTACCATGCTAGCCTCACTATTAATAACAATCATAGTGGAATGCCCTACTGGTGGAGCAACGATATCTCTCAACAGAGACAGAAGTGTCACAAGGCACGTAGAACCATCATGAGGCTCGTCAAACACAGGCACAGACATCCGGAAGCGATCATCGAAGAAGCTAGCTCCTTGTATAAAAGCCACAAAAAAACGCTTCAGCAAATGATCAAAGAGTCCAAGAAAAAACACTGGAACGAACTTTGTGACAACATTAACGAGGACGTATGGGGAGACGGATATCGGATTGTCATGAAAAAATTCCGATGTTTCGCGCCCTATAGCATGACAAAAGAACGAAAGAAGGAGATAGCAGAAGAACTGTTCCCACCACACGCAGTTAGGAGCTACAGTACAGAAACGGTCAACAACGTAGACATGTTCACGGAAGAGGAATTCGAACAATCCATAGAAAAACTCAAAATGGGTAGAGCCCCTGGTCTTGATGGTATACCCCCAGAAGCAATTAAAGAGGCTTCGAAACTGTCACCAACCTGGGTATTGGGCTTTTTAAACAACCTTCTCACCACACAGAGCTTTCCGGAATCTTGGAAACGGGCCAAACTCTTACTGATACCGAAAGGAAAAGACAAATACATACCCATTTGCTTGCTCTTGACAATTAGCAAGCTATATGAGTTATTGATACTTGCTAGGCTACAGAAGGAAATCGATTACAAGGGTGGCCTATCAGAGTTCCAGTATGGTTTCAGAAAAGGTAGAAATACGTTGATGGCAGTGGACGCAGTCCTTAAAACCATTAAGGGCAGCAGGGAAACATGGGGCGTTCTCATCACAGTCGACGTCAAAAACGCTTTCAACTCGCTACCGTGGCAAAAGATAATGGAGGAGCTGAAAACAAGGAAAATACCACCATACCTCCGAAATCTCGTAGGTGCCTACCTCAGTGGAAGGTCACTCCAGATAGCCAAAGAAGAGACCCTAGACATAACATCCGGAGTACCGCAGCGCTCAGTCTTGGGCCCTACTCTATGGAATTTGGTCTACGATGGGGTACTGAGGAGTAAATGGCCACATGGTGTAAAAGCCGCTGCGTTCGCGGACGACTTGGCAGTGATAGTGCTAGCGCAGGATGAGGAGGCCCTTATGCATGCGGCAAATTTAGCCCTGAGGATAGTGGACAACTGGATGACGGCCCATCATCTCGAACTCGCACCGGAGAAGACAGAAGCTGTCATCATAAAGGGGAAGCGGAGAAAAGCAGGTATTACTTTTAACTGCAGAGGAACTTCCGTAACACCAAAGAAGTCTGTTAAGTACCTAGGAATTCACTTAGAAGAAGGAGGCCACTTTCGGGAGCATATTCGGGCAATGGCAGCAAAAGCAGACAAAAAAGCAGCATCGTTAGCAAGAATTATGCCAAACATCGGCGGACCTACCAGCAACAAGAGGGAGGTTATAAATAGCGTGGTGCTTTCAACATTACTTTACGGCGCCCCAATCTGGCACGACATTATGAGCACTACTAGATACAGGCAAATGTTCAACGGAGTGCAAAGGAAGATGCTGCTGAGGGTGGCGAGTGCTTACAAGACGGTCTCCACGAAGGCCTTACAGATTATTACAGGGATAGCACCGATCCACTTGCTTGTGGAAGAAAGAGTGAGACTGCACCGCCGGGAAGATGGGAGAACCGCGAGGGCCAGAAGGGAGGAGCGCGAGGTCACCATCAGTAAATGGCAGGACGAGTGGCACTTAACGGAGGACGTGGCTCAGTGGACAAAAAAAATAATACCTGACATCGGGAAGTGGCTTGCTTGCAAGCATAGGCGACTGGATTACCACCTAACGCAGGCACTAACGCAGCATGGTACTTTTCGAGAATTCACGAAGAGAATACAGAAATCAGACAGCGATGAATGCATGTACTGTCAAAAAAAAGACACAGTTGCACACACTCTCTTCGAGTGTAACAGATGGGAGCGACCAAGGGCACAAGTCGTTGTTAGTCTAGGACACGCTCTGACGGAGAGTAATCTGACCAGCACCATGATGGTGAACAAACAATCGTGGATACAAATACAAAGATTCATCAGGGAAATACTATCAATTAAAGACAAGGATGAAAGAAGAACGGACAACCCAAACTCCTAGGATATATACATGGAAATTTTACTGCAGAAACCGCTGAGGAAACGAAGACATGTGTGAGACACATACTAGATATCCGGTCTCAGGTATCTCTTGGTGATTTCCCCCCAAGAAAAAAAAAAGTAGTAGTAGTGGGTAAGCGAAGCCTGGCAACTAGGCCACCTTTGTCCCTTATTGTCGACCACTTTGTATCAACACTCTACTACTTCACATCTACTGGTAACTTATTACTGAATAAACCAGCGATGTGATGAACCTATTTTGATCTTGAACGGATCTGGCGCGTGATATAGAGAAGATACAACACTGCATTCATAGCTCGGAATTAACTTCCACAACTTTATTCACCACTAAGACACAATTGCTGCTGAATTAGCAGCTGATGAGGTTCAAGTCGTCGTACTATTCACTGATCACTGAAAAAGTTGAGATTTCTGAATACCCGTCAAAAAATGTTTAATCTATTAATAATTTTTGGAAAGTTGAAAAAAGATGTGAATGTTTGAATGTTTGTGATATTTTCAGCAAAATAGTTTGCATACCATAAAATGGAAATACCCGAATACTGAACTAAACATCTACTTATCTGCTATTTCGACCTGTATGCAGTTATACTAGTGCTTATAGATATTATCAAATCGTATGATTGTTGCACAGGAAATCTTATATGACCAGATCTAGAGACTCAACCAATAAGTACCATGCCAATATTTTTATAAAATGCTAAAGTGATTTACTACAGGATCGGTTGATTTATGGATAATTTCGGTAATGACGACAATGTCCTTGAATATTTTCACAACTTTTCCTGTGACCCTGTATACTGAAGAAGGGTATCTGAGTTATCCTGTTCATACTTTAATAAAATTCGGTGATTTTGTGGTCAGATGAAATCGCATATGCACCTTTGACTGACGTTTCACCCCCCAGGGCGACATTTTTCTAAGTACAAATGTTTACAAAAAACGTCACTAAACAACCTAGCACGATTTTCGGCCCGCTGTGCAGCGGACGGTACGTTCTAATATACGCCGTAAAATTATGGGTCAAAAATATTTGTCAACGTAGAAGCTGTTTCAGTTTTATTTTTCCGGTGCACGTATTGTGAGGTTAAGGATGGCGTGGTATCAGAAACTAGGTAATATTTGCATTTAATTCTAATGTTTCGATAAAATATTAGTTAGAAATAGATAAAATAACTATAGTTTAGTGTTTCAAGCAATATGCCAACAGAAATTGTGTGGTATCTCTGTATAGCAACAGCTTTTGTATTTTGTGCAGTATTTTGGACATCGGGATTCTAGTTAGTTCAAGCTAATAAGCTGTTTTCATTGTTCACGCAAACTTTCTTATTTGATTGTTATCATTTCGTTTTTTTTCTCAAGCTGGAAAGTCACTACTGACGGATAAAGATCTTGAGGAAATTCTAAATGATAGTGACTTCTACTTGAGCGATGATGAATAGGAAGTCATCGATAAAGACAGTGAGACAATTGAGGCAAGTGATGTCGACGAGGCTGCGTCGATTTCTGATACCGTTGAAGAGGAATCTGATGATAATATACCTTTGTCCACAATAAGGGACCAGTTACTTCAGAAGCACAAAAGAAACGCATAAGAAAAATGGAAAGGAGGTGTGTTTTTGAAAATCGAGAAGAAGTCTGTCTTGTGTGTTCTTCATGCAGCCGTGAATATCGACAGAAAGAATGCTCGTCCAAAGTCCTTAGGTGCGTTAATTGTGTTGAAAGTAACGAAACATAAAACTAAATATGATGTTTGCCATTCGTCGAATGACGAAGGTTCGTGCTTGGTGTTACAACATTACATAAATAATCTTAAATCTAAAATCAATTATGGAACATAAAAAATATATTAGAATAGCTCACATAAATGTAAGGTCGTTACTTTCCAATTTTGCTGATTTTGTAGAGTTAGTTTTTGAAAAAAAATTGATATAGTTGCTGTATCGGAAACTTGGTTCTCCAAATGTATTAGCTCTGAAACTGTCAATATCCCTGGCTTCAGCTTGATGATAGGCCATCCCGTGGTGGTGGTGGTGTCGGTATTTATATTAGAAGCAACATCAAGTATGCTCATTAGATTTAAAGTTGGTCACTGTAGCTACTGCCTAGGTGTAATGTATAGACCTCCGAGTGATAATGTTTTGAATGCTATCGAATGTCTCGAGAATTTGCTACCTGGCCTAGTAACTGAATACGACAA